CTGGCCTATGGTCTGACCGGCCGACGCTGTGTCGATTTCAGTTTCGGGTTGTTTGTTTAGATATCCGTGATTGTTTCATGGTTATGGCTTCTAGATGGATATTATACGTATGTAATACTGTTGTTTGCTAACAATGAGTCAAGTTGGAGATAGCTTGGTCTCGGAATATGATTTCTTTGATTGTTTCATGTGTAGGTGACTCGATGCCCCGGGAGAGTATTTGCGATGGGCCGGGAGTCGGCTTGGTGGTAAGACGATGTCCGTGGTGGTCAGATATCATGCGGGATACTAAGGCTAGAGTTGATGCACATGGTTGATGGAGATTCCATATGGCATACGATGGAAGTATTGTGTGCGTATGAGATGCGTAGTCGAATTTAGAAGGAGTCCAAATTTGGTACGATTGGTTATGTAAAGTTTTTTTTTTGTACTAGAGGGTTTCCTAAGGTGTTTAGGACTCTTAGTATGAGTTTGGTTCGTGGCTTTAAGCTGCCTACCTCATGTATAAATAGAGGGGGAGCGTGAGGATTCCCGGTATCGCTTTTGTATTGCTTTGAGAGCAATTGAGTTGCTAGTTTAGCTAGGGTTTCAAGTTTAGTCGAGATTTTTATAAGAAGTGCTGTTGGTGCACTTTGTAAAGACAAAAAGAAGCAATAAAGTTGTCATATACTTTGAGAGTTCTTCAATTTGTGTTTCACCGGTTTCGGCGGTCTAACCGGCATCTCACCGGCGGTCAGACTGGCGGCATCGCGGCGGTCCGACCGGCGGTATTAGGGCGGTCAGACCGGCGGCGGCGACAGGAGCTGGTGATTGATCTCGGCGGTTCGACCGGTGTTACAACCTCGGTCAGACCGACGATATCCAGGCGGTCAGACTGGCGCTACTACTTCGGTCAGACCGCGATCCATGGATTTCGAGGGTAACTTTTATTTCCGCTAAAAGATTTTGGTTTTTGGGTATACCAAGCGTTCACCCCTCTCTAGTTGGCTTAGTTTCTGTGATTCGATCTTACATTTTAATGCACAGAACAGTACCGTTACAGTGATGATTTACTGTATATACAGGGATGAAAGTACTGTGTGCCACTGTATTGGTTTTACTGTAGCGAACGATCTGATTCGTCCGTCCTTAATCGGACGGCCCACAATACTCCTAATGCCTGGTACTGTAGCAACCTCTGAATTTTCTCCTCCACAGCAGAGGATCGGAATTCCTTAATTTAGGTATTCAGAGGAGCATTTATAAAAGTATATGCAATGCCAACTGGGCATGCCATTTTGCCCTGCCTCGGTCAGTGCAAATTTTAAAACATGCTTCGAGTTGGTTAAACAAAAAGAAACTATACCAAACTAGATAATGATCTGTCGAGAATGCTGGAAGAGATTGAATCACATGAACGTAAATGAATGTATTGGCAGAAAATGGCGTTCGTAAACACGGCAATTTCTATGTGATAATCTCATGTTCTTAAAATATCCCAAGTCCCCCTAAATCATAGCAATCTATATTTGAGAGCTCAGGTTGATGTGTTGGCTAGAAAATATATATAGCCGGACACTAACAAATAAACGCTATAATATATTTGAAAAATATTTCTATTTATTTATATGACCACATCTGGAGGAAAATAAAGAAAATTCAATGTTTCCTTGCTACAAATGCTAATATTACTTAAAAACATTTATACAAAAAAAAAACAGCCTAAAATGCACTACACGCACCAAAAAAAAATTCAGAGTGAAAACTAACAAAGCAATATACAACATCAAATATAATGTAAAGAACTAATATTAGTAGAAAATATAAATTACATAAGCATTTAAATTTCTATATTGTTTCTAAAATACAATCCTCAGTGGTGTAAACTTTTAATTCAAAAAAAAGTTTATAATATGTAAATTTATAAAAATACAAATTATATAACTGAATTTTGCTATAAAGGTGTTGAAATAATTTCATAGGAATATTTTAAGTGAAATCCCTTAAAGGTGTATTCTGGAATAAAGGGTTGCATAAAAGTTTCATAAAAGCGAGATTTTGTTTGCTTTGATAAAGCCAAGTAAGTGGAGGATACTATTTGGTTGTAATTTTGGATACTTCTCTTTTAGATATCTTTGCATTCCCATTCATTATTAGAAAGTCCAGAATGTTGATTGGGGGTTGAAGATAGATTTGAGAAGAAACTGCATACATGGAAGGGCAAAAACATGTCATATGGTGGGAGACTAGTCCTTCTAAACTCGGTTCTTTCAAGCATTCCCCTGTTTATGTTATCCTTCATTGAAATTCCACGAGGTATGCTTGAAAGATTGGATTATTTTAGGTCACTTTTTTTTATATAATGATGACCGAAAAAGAAAATATAGACTAACTAAGTGCAAAGACATATGCCGATCAAAATATCAAGGTGGACTAAGTGTCCATAACTTTGATATCAAAAATAGATGCCCGTTAAGAAAATGCCTCTTTCGGTTGGTTAATGGTGAAGGTGCATAGCAAGACCTTTTGCGAAATAAATAGGGTGAATAGCCAGTTCAGTCCTTCAACTTTTGCTCAGGGGTCGAATTAGTCCTTGATGTTTTATAATGTCCAAACAAGACCCTAAAGATTATCATGCGGCTTAATATAGTCCTTAGACCTACTTAAAACGCCATGTGGACATGCCAAGTCATTCGTGCATGTAAGATAACATTTAAATGTCCATTTTAACCTTCATTTTTTATCAAATAAAGAAAAGAAAAACAAGAAGAAGAAATCATAAAACAAAGGAAAATGCCAATTTTTTTAGCTATCAATGCTACATATTTTTGCCAATGGCCAAAACCTTTTTTTTTGTTTTTTCTCAATAGTTTTTCTTTATTTACTATAAAAACGTAAGGGTGGAATGGACATTTAAATATTGAATTTGCATGCATAGATGATGTGGCATGTACACATGGCATATGTTTAGAGGGTCCAAGGACTATATTGAATCACACAATAAACTTAAGGTACTTGTTTGGACAATACGAAATGTCAGGGACTAAATTGATCCTTAAGCGAAAGTTCAAGGATCATGTCGGGTATTCACCCAAATAAATACTTAAAGGGTAAATCTCTATGGTATGTCCAACAAGACATGTATTTCTCAGTTCTAGGCAGGTGTAATGAAGGTGAAAGACCATTTTCTTAGGTTTGGGTATTTTAGATATGGCAATAGGACTGACATAAAATTTTGGGAAGACACATGGTTTGGATCGTGTGCTCTCAAATATCAATACCCTACTTATACCTATGTGGCTTGAAAGAAGCTATCTACCGTAGCAGAGGATATGAGCACAAAGCCATTGAATATTCCTTTCAGAAGAGCCATTGTTAGCCAAAATCTAATCGAGTGGAAAAATTTGATCATCAGGTTAGCTAATATAACTCTGTCAAATGAAAAGGACTGTTTTGTATGGTCACTTCATAAGAATGGCTAACTTTCGGTCAACTCTATGTATAACATGATCATGAACTCCAATATTAGGATCCAAAATAGGATTATATGAGACTTAAAGGTTCCACGAAAGATCTAGGTTTTATGTGGTTTCTTCACAAGAAAGTAATTCTAACGAAGGATAACCTGGTTAAAAGAAAATGAGGGATACAAACATTGTTCTTTCTACTACGCACAGGAGAAAATCCAACATCTTTTCTTTGAGTTTCATGTTGCTCGATTTGTTTGGAGATGTGTGTGTGTGTGTGTGTGTGTGTTTTCTTTTAATTAATATCCTTCCACCCCATAATGCTAAAATATTTTTGGGATTTGGCTTAGAGGGGTATCTAGGTCCATAAAAAATGATTTTAATTGGAGCTAATGGTCAATTTGGCGTTGCCATAATGATAGTTTTTCATGGTAAATAATTATCTAACCCTATCCATGTTATCTTCATGTCTTCGTATTGGCTGCACTTTTGATCTACGATGCTATCACAGGGAGAGTAGGATACTATGCGCAATGGTGTTACACTCTTGGAATCAGTAGCCAAGGGTCTCTTATTTCACTATGGGTGGCGTAGTTCCATTAGAATTGCTAGCTAAAAAGACTATGTGGTTTAACGCTAGTCAATATTAAAGGGGAGTTGAGGATATATTTATCTCATCACCTTATGTCTTATTTTTATTTTTTTATCTTTACCTTTTTTTAACAAACTTATGGTTATATGTCTTATGACAGAAGTCAGAGATGCAATCCATTTTCATTATCTTAGAAAAATTAGCAAGATTTCATGTCCAGATGTAAAAAGAATAAGACCATACTATATGTCTACACCCCTCAAACTATTGCCTAAAAACACCCTCAACTAGTTTACACCCCTCAGCTATCAGTACTGGTTAATATACCCCTTGCTGACAATATAACCCAATTTTAATTGATCCCCCCTTATTTTTAACATCCAAATATATGTTCTTGTACTTGTTGACATTTATCAGTAACTTGGTGTCATACAAGTAAAAAAAAATGCTATTTTTATATTAAAATCATAAAAATCATAATTTATATGCTGTTTTTAAGCCTGTTTTGACAGTTGAGGTGTGCAATAATCTAGACTTATTCCTATTAAAAAATTGTTTTACAGAAATATAAAATAATGTTAAATATTCTAAGTAATTTACATGACTTGGAATCTTCTTTGCTCAGGTCTTCTTATATTTTTCTTTATTAAGCTACAAGGACCTCATGGTAGTAATTTACAAGTTAAGTCCTTCCTATAATATAGCCTTGACATGTTTGACCAAACCTTTTCCCAAGAGGTGGCAACTGCAAACACATCGGGTAAAGAAAAAAAATGAAGAAAGAAGCAACTGCAAACAGATAGGGTGAAATTAAGAGTACATTAATCTGCACTGATCTGACACGTAGTATAGTAAAGACATATGAAATAAAAAAATTATACAGTGTAGAAGTTTGCTATCTCATTCTCATTTCAAGTGCTTCTATTTATAAAGTCTCAAGCTTTCCTGCCTACCTCATTCCATCCTCCTGCGCTCTCAAGCTTTCCTTCCTAGATTCTGCATTCCGATTTCCATTTCACACATTCAACGTCAAGGTATTATAGCTAGTTACTTTAGCCTTTCTTAAGAAGAACAACTCACAAGTAAGTGCCATTCATCACACCGTCGTACACTATGTTTGGTTTTGTTTGAAGGGCATTTTGCTCCTCATGGTCTTCAAACTTAAGTGCCAACACTTCTGATATTACCTTAGAAGAATATAGAAAAATCAGCTTGTCTATTAGGTGTTCTCCAAGAGACCCAAAAAAAGGATCTCCTCTTGCATGTTACACCTTTTACCTTTGTTTTACCTTGAAATTCATACATTTTCAATTGCAATAGCCCAAAAGATGTTCTTTTAAGCCAATTAAAAGAAAGAAAAAACTGCCACACTTCAGTGTTTCCAGAGTTTCTCTTGGGATAGGTGGATTACTCTCTCTCTTTTCAAAAAGGAGCTGTACTTTCAGTTTTGCACAATTTTCTCTTCGAAAAAGACCCTGCTTCAATAGTTTTGGGGCGTTATTTTACCAATTTGCAGCCTGAGGTTCAATGATAATTTCAGAACAAGTTTTGCAGATAAAAGAAGATAGATTATTACTAGTCCTCTTCATTTGAAAAACAGAGAAAGGAGAACTTTTTGCCATAAATGGCTCAGGAGTACCAGACAATGCCTTCTTCTGCTCACGACAAGAGGTACTCAGGACTGTCGAATGGTGGTGACAAAGAACAATTGCCATCTCAAGGTATTTCAGTTCCCCTTATGGATCTAACTAGTGTTTTGTTTGTTCAGGTGTTTGTGTCACTCTTTCATGTTTAACGGTTGGAAGTGAGTTATTATACTTGTTTTCCAATGTACTTCCTTTGTTTGACTTGTATAGAATCAGAAGTTCCTTTGACTACTAGATTTGATGGGAATGCAATGCAAGTAGATGGACTCCTAAAAAATGTTTCTCCCACAACTAAGATTGTGGTGAAACCAAATGAGGAGTTGAAGTCACCGTTCTTGGTAAAGCGCCACCTATTTCTTAAGAGGCCTGATCCTATTATACTAGACGAATTGTACAGCTTGACTACAAAAGTAACCGATGAAGAGTCCAGACAGTAAGTGTAATTTGCGTCCTTTAAACATCTACTACATCTGTTTCAAATTACTTGTCGTTTTAGCTTTGTCATAAGTCAATCAGTTTTGTTACTGCAGTCATGACCAGCCTTATTATTGATTGAATTGCAGGTCTGTTTGGGTATCAGGCAACCTGCCGATCAATTTAAAGCTTGTAGATATCCAGGAAACAATAAAACCTGAAGGAGTCATGGGTATAAATTGCATGGACTTGGCTGTTAGAATTATGTCAAGACAGGATGCTGAAATTTTTAAAAACACAAAATGTCTAGGTTGGAGGCATTATGTTGATTCAAATTGGAAGGTAAGTTTGCGTGAGTGCGCCTTGGGATGTTGTTGGCGGCATATAATTCCTAGTTCTACTCTTCTCCTAGTGTCATAATAACAACTATTTTTGTTCCTTGTTCCACAGCAATATATCAATGATCCCAACAATCTGAGGAACGAGTATTCCCGTTTGTCTACTATGTATGATCCTTCAGGTTCACATCTGGTATGATCCTTTTCTATTTCTATCCAAATTGGGTAGAACTGAAAAAACTCTCGCTAATCTCTTGTCATCCAATTGGTCTGTCGATCAAATTTAAGTTACAAAATGCAACCAGGAAATTACCAAATTGAATCTGAACATTGTTTTTTTTTGCTGAAATGTGTGTATATATATATAGGTATTAATCCCTGTATCATCTGATGGCCACTGGACTCTATATGCTTTCAACATGCATGATAAGAAGCTCTGCATTCTGGATTCTCGACGAGATACCAGTGAAGGCGGTGATCAGGATCCAGTGAAGCGTCATGAGAAAATCCGAAAAGAAGTCTGCCATGCTCTTAACGAAACCATGGATGTTGATTTCAATTTTCTCTCTTGGAAGCATGAGTTTCCCAAAGTGCCTAGGCAACAGAACAGGTGTGACTCTTAACACCCAGCTTTGCTTAATCTTCTTCCCGTCTTTATTATGGGTATATGTTTTACTGCATGATAAGTGATCAACTCATTTTTCCCTATGATTTATTTCTAGTTGTGACTGTGGATTCTTTGTATTCAATTTTATGCGATTATGGGATGGTCATCGACTGATTCGGTGGTTTTCAACTGTAAGAAATAATTCCTGGAGAGTTAATTTTGATTGGAATACATATTCAATATATTATCGTCATTAATTTTGTATATGCATCATCTTGTTAGGAAACAAAGGAGTTGCGGAAGAACTTTCTAGCATACATACTCTCCAGTTTGGATGATCATTCAGTCCTGCCTACTAATGTCTCTGAGTTGATCAAAAAGCTCCCTGGTTAGACACATCAGAGTTTGCATTTTCTTTTGTGTTTTGTTATAGGACACATGAACTTTTAAATACATAGTTTTCCGACTATATATGCCAATAAGACCTTGTTTGGGATATGATTGGCCCAGCTCTAATGATATAGTTTTCGTCTTGCCTAAACAGAAACTTAATTATCTGATTGATCTTGTTGGTGTTTCTTTGTTTAGGGGAAACAATGATGAATGTTGAGCTATTAGAAGCTGCACGGGCAGGCAACGCAAATGCATTTTGTGAACTTGTTATAGATCCTGCAAGAAGTATTAATCATGAGCCCTTCAGATCTGCCTCCTGTTCTTGTCTTCTTTTTCGGAGCACATCATCTGGCAGCTATTGTCTCTGTTTTGAGTGCACATCCTCACGCAATTCCGATCAAGAAAAGAGTCCAAACAAGCATAATGCATTAACACGATCAGATGCACCATCAACATTTACGAGAGATACAAGGGACATGCTACATGCTATTCAGGGTGTAACGGTTGAAGGTGACGGGGTGCTCCACATCGCTGCAAGCTTTGGTGTTTTGGAACCTGTGAAAACCGTCTTGGAAGCGCAGAATGGAGCTTTCGCAACGGCGCTTCTGCAAGCAGAGAACAACAAAGGAGACAGGCCCCTGCACTGCGCAGCCACCACAGGTAGACTGTAACTATATTGTTTCCGCAAACTAATAATAATAATAATAGTAATGACTTTTACCGTTTTGGTTTCTAAAATTTAGTTTTTCTAAATTTTATTAGCATCGCATTAAAGTTAACACTAAATAGTTAAATTCATAAATATGAAAATTTTCTGACAGATTATAATTGTTTCCGTAAAAATAATGATAACTTTTCCAACCATCTCCGACCGTTTTCATCCAGGGAGTATAGTTACTGTCAAACTCATCGTTGATGAAGCTGAGAAAATTATGCGGGCCCAATCCGATACCTTTGCCTGGTTTCTGCGTGCGAAAAATCTCGATGGCCAGACGTGCTTGCACGAGGCTGTGCGCCACGGTCACGAAGATGTTGTGAAATATTTGGTTTCGAAAGATGCAGATTTGGGGGATGTCCCGTTGCCGCTGGTGCAGATAGTGGACAACGAGGGCACTTCTCCGCTCTACTTGGCGACCACATTACGCAGAGACAGCATTGTTAAGGTGCTCACAGAAGCAGCGCCATCAGGCATGCCTAGAGCCGCGTCCTATTCTGGGCCTGCAGGGAAAACAGCTTTACATGCTGCTGTTCTCTTCAGTGAAGGTACAAACTCAGTCTTATGTTCGTTGCCAAGTTCTGCAAGGTTTATTACATGACATCTCTCCACGTTTAGTAGGCTAATATATCTTACATTTTCTGCAAATCATGCACAATTTGCTCCTACGGAGTTTCCTCCTTCATGAACAATTTATCCCTTAGTTTTTAAATATATGACATTATTAACTTTACATTGGACCATTTATCTCATTCAAAAAATAAGTACAGATATAAAAAAATATAAGTCATATTTAAAGTATCTTCAATGATGAAACAAATCATAACAAAACAAATGATACTTACATAGTTTTTCTAATAATACAAATGGTCAAATGCAATTAATTGCACTAGTATCGAAGACAAGACTTAATTAATTGTACTAGTATGAAAGAAAAAAACCTTTACTAAAATAGACTAAATAAACATGCGATTTGGTAATGTATAAATGCTACTGGCCATTCAAGAGCGCATCATTTCTTCGGAATCTATGATTCTTCTATAGAATGAAATGAGTGCCCAGCTTTGTATGCCTTCTTTTTTCTTTCCCAACTGCCCTTGTTTAATCTCTTTTTATTTCTTGTTATGACTTTTACAGTTTTTTTCACTTCTAGTACAATCATGCATTTGACATAGCAAGAGACATATGCAACGGAAAGACAGTTAACTAATATTGCAAATCTCAATTGCAGAACTGAGTAGAACACTGGTGAATTGGAACCATAGTCTCATTAAGATCCGGGATGAATCTGGGAGCACCCCGCTTCACTATTTGGCAGACGGGAAGTATACTACTGAACCCAGTTGCATTTCTGTTACTGAACTTCTCCTTAAGAAGGATCCATCGTCAGGCTACTGTGAAGATTCAGAGGGCTCATTGCCCATTCACATTGCTGCTGCAAATGGCACGCTTGGCATCATTGATCAGCTGATAAAATTGTGTCCTGGCTGTGAGTCATCATGCAATGCTTCTGGCCAGACAATCCTCCACATCGCTGTCCAAACGGAAAGCCATGATGTGGTGCGATTTGTTTGTTCGAATGAAATGTTCAAAATGGTTCTGAATATGAAGGATTACGATGGGAATACAGCACTCCATTTGGCTGTACAGAAGGGACATAACAAGACCTTTGGCATTTTGATGGGATGCAAGAATGTCTCTTTAAGTATCAGAAACAGAAATGGGTATACGCCTCTTGATCATGCCGTACTGAACAAAACAAGCGGACTGACGTATGCCACATATTGGCCAGTATGTCCTATTAGCACCCTCCCTTTCTCTTATTTTGCATTTTTACTCGTATTCTTTTTCTGAAATGAGATTTGTTTTTAAACATATTCCATTTCTGCAAAGTTCACTACAAATTATGTACCTTGGGCAACTAGAACAACGAAAAATTGTTGTAGAATTTCCCTAATTTGGTTGGTGTTTCACATATTCTCTACAAAGTAATTCAAAGGTACTTCCTCTTGGCATTAATATTTGATGTATAGAATAAAATTCAGTCAATCTTTAAACTCTTAAACCATGATCAATTGCTCAAATGCTTAGTTTACAAAAGTAGCATCTGTAAATTTACCTCTCAAAGTACACTATGTTGTAAACTTATTAGATTTTATAAACATATTCTACTAATGTAAGAATGTATGGTTAAAGTTTCAAAAGTATGATTGAATCTTGTCATGAATGTCAAATATGTAAGACCAGAAGTAATCTTAGGTGTGATGACATGGATATGTATGTTAACAACTAATTACACCATATGGTAGGAATTACTATTATTTTTCCCGTAATTATATCGAAGATGCACACGCATCACACCGCTATGCATGTACATCATATCGTCTATGAATTATGAAATATATCTAGAAGCAGGGTAATGTGAAAAATATAGATTAATTCATTAATAGGGGGGAACATGGATTTTCATGTCTTATGAAGTTACTTTCCATGACATTTCTGAAGGGTCACCAGCGATGGGTATGCAATAGTTTGCTCGCTGCTGGAGCTGATTTTGGTACTTTCCGTGCGGACCATTTGTCCAGCAAGATCCCAGAACAAGCCAAGGCTGACAGGGAAGCATTCTCCGACACACTGAGCAAATCTGCCGCGGTCATGGCCACATGCGCGGCTCTGCTTTTCAATGCGGCGCTTAACATCTTTCTGAATGTGCAAGCCATCTACCACAACAATAACACCAGCACCAACAACAACAATGCAACTCAAGGAAGCGATCAGCTCAAGCAAATTCAGAAAGTTAAGAAACTCAGTGGAGACTCACTGAGCATCTCTGCATGTGCCATCCTTTTATTTGCGATTGCTGGATTTCCCATCTTGCCCGGTGTCATAGGACGCACCTTTGCTCTTATCTTGGGACTAGGGGTGCTCATTGGGTCGTCCATGATTAGCCTGCAGGCGTTAGCAGCACGGCTTGATCTAGCCAAGGTTTATGGCACAGGAATCGGTGCCTTCTGCGTTATATTTTCGCTGTTGTGCGTAACGCTGTGCACCAACCTTTTGCGGAAGATAGTGCAGCACGCGCGTCCGCTGTGGGATAGGTGTGGTGCCCGTGGATTCTTCCGTAGCATTCTGAATGTGCGCAGAGCTCAAAACTACTCTGCCATCCCGTTGTTGCAGGTTTGTGCCTTCATCGAGGTCTTACTGCTGACGTGTCTTGTTATGAGCTCCAGTATTGAAATTGTAACAAAAAATTTTCCAATATCGCTACAACTAGTTAGGAGGTGACATGGACAGTAAAACATAGCTTGGAAGTGTCACATTGTGTTTTCCTACTAGAGGCGTGTGTTGGCGGTATGTGCATGTACATGTGATATGTCAAAACTATATATGTACTCGTATAATATGAAATAAATGTGACATGTTCTAATTCCATTTGTGTTCTTGTGTCCTTGTCAATTAACAAATAACAGCATATACTAGCATTCAATGAGAATTATATAGCCTTCAATCCGTTGCACTGCCTTTGCATGTTACTAGCCCCGCCATAGGCATGGCCTCGATCTGATATCTCGCACGTTCACTCACTATCTACTAGGACAACACAATAGTCTTTCAAAGTCATTGCAGCAGTGCCTTTAACATAGAAAGAATTTAAAAATGCTCGAAGATTTTAATGTGCAATCTTGTTGAACTCATTTCACCTTTTAGTTCAGAGATAAAATCAACAAAAAAATTCTGAAAAGAAATTGATGATATATCAAGGAACTCGTCATCTATGATGACTCATAACCCACATCCGTAGTGGGTTTAGCCTCATCACAGATCATTGGCCAGTAATGAGAATACCTCATTTGTGATGGGTTAAAACCCGCTAGTGATGACAGACATCTATGACGAGTGGTTCTGTAAAATGCCCCTAAAACTTTCAGGGCCAAAAAAGGTAACTAATGATAGTTTCTAGCTATTTCTGTTAAGATCTCTAGTGTGGCCTATTATTTGGCAAAACAATAACATATATTGAATAATAATCCACGGTTTTGCACTTTTAACTTCAGTATTAAAAGTACGAGGTGTCATAGGTACCACCCATCATAAGTAAGTGTAGCATCCGTAAGAGATAGTCATATGTGACTGGTTGTCACTACCAACTGTACTTCTGTTGGAGTCTTAATTAGTATTTACAATTGGGAAAATCCAGAACAAACAAGTACCAAGAGAACGGTAAACCTGTGATGCACATTTTTATTATTGATATGCCGTAGAGACAATCATAAAGATGATTGTATCACGTACTATGTTTATGACTTTATAAAGTGTTTCTTGAAATGGATAACTTATTATTAATCAATGAGTATGTGACTTATTTATGGAACTCTTTATGTAAAACAAATATGGCTATTAGATCAACACATGTATTGATTGATGACCATGTCTCATAAATCATGATATAGAGATACCTAATCAATAATCTGAATACGTGTTAGGGAACATGTTGTTAAATAGATCCAACTGAGACACTGCAAGTATTATAATGTGCCATCAGTTGGTCTTAAGTAGTGCTGGTATAGAATTCTTTTACCTAAGATTATCATGATTCCCAACTGAAAGTTCAAGTGCCATTAATTTAGTTTTGGTAATTAATGACAAATCTAATTATGTGAGACTAATGCTTTTATAAGCATTTCTTTGCCTAGTCTCATATGGATATGAAAGTGGAGTGTGTGAGAGGTGATTCCTGGACTTCATATGAGTTGAGATAGAAACGTTCATTGAAGATGGATCTAGAATCACTAGGATGAAATGCATAGAGATCAAGCTATATGTATCACTCTTTCTTTCCGTGCAGATATTGATATATTCATATATAATATTTTCATGTGATTACATAAGCATGTGAGACTAATGTTTTGTTTGAGCGATATCTTGTTTAGTCTTTTTACATTGAGAACATGGAGATGATGAATGTATGCTTTTATTTTAATGTCTATATTGATAAATGCCTTCTATTCTTGTATAGGATAAGCTCTCAATTTTTCATATTTTGTTATGTATACTCTTGCTTCACACAAATTTTTCGTATGCATACATTTAGGGGGAGCAAATCCTATATATTAGTTATGCATGTATTTGATCCAAGTTATTCACTTTCATTTAACTAGAAAGGTAGCCCGCGCATTCGCGTGGGCTTATATCGTATGTTCCGTTTGAGACACTTGCAGGAGAGGAATATTAACCGGATAACATGTGCCATACTTCAGAAGTATGATTGCTTCAAAAATATTCTTGTTGGCGTTGCTAAGATAAGTTTTCTAACCTATTAGTGTTGTTCTAATTATCCAAGGCAATTGTTTTGCATTGGTCAATGCAATAGTTATTTCAAAGTCTATAGCACTTCACAAATGGTGAAAGATCATTTTCCTTGCTCGGATTATTTGAGCACATTACTTTTAAAAAGCTCATGAAGCAATCAGATTGTTTTATCTATCTGGTATTTTATGTAGCAGCTTGGACTATTCAAATAAGTCAGCTCTTTTTGTTTATATAGTGTATATCTAATTTAGTTATTGATGTTTGCAAAACAATGTATAATGTTGTGATTGGTGTTCTCAAACTATTTCATATTTTTTATAGCAATTCAGACAACATGTAACGTGGCAGTGTTGTTTCTCCCTCTAAATATTATTATGTAGTGGCTTGGACTATTCTTATTCGAGGTATTTATTTCTTAGGTACTATACATCCAATTTAGTTATTCACATTTGAGAAATAATATATGATGGTGCAACAGGTGTAGTTGAAATATTTTGTAGCTTTTTATGGCAATTTGGACAACATGTAAAATGGCAGGTGTTGTCCATAGATAAAAATAGGGTATTCTTTCATACTTGATTTTATAGTTTTCGTTTCGACACCATTAATTTTGCTTTAGCTTTGTATATTTATGAAATAATATATAGAATGGCGTAATATATATTGATAGTTTTTATCGTATTACTTTGCTATTTGGATGACATGTAAAATGCATGGATTGACTATTTCCGAGTGATATATTTCTAATATAGAAAAGTATAGGCATATGGACCTTAAATTATACATTTAATTATAAATAGAAAAACAGTTATAATAGAAAATAGACATGTACCCTAAAATTTATTGTCATTTTAAAATGTACAACTGTTGATTGTTTCTCTTCTAGTTTGATAGCTAAATAATTGAAAGGGGGAGAGGAAATAGATCCGTCGATAATGGTTGAAAAAATAGATGTAATTTACATGGAAACTGATGGTATGTTGTTTCACTTTTTCTTTTCTTTGAATCTTTTCTAATTTTGAGAACATGGCATGCCATGATTTAACAGTGTTTTATGGGACATTTAACATATCTTTATTATTATGTACAATGATTTAAGATGATATAATACATATTGTTTTTTCTTAATATTTGATTGTAATTTGGTTATAATGCTGATAGTGGGTCTATGTTGTATTTTAATTTTGACATGTGGTGATTTAGAGTGCTTTTGAGGATATTTAATGAACAATTAATGGATTTTTATTACGTAGAATAATTTAATATGATATAATACATATTGTCAATTTTTTTAATATTTTATTCAGATGTAGTTACTATGCAAAGGGTAGGATGGCGGTATCTATGACGTATTTCAATTTTTACAAAGTAACATATATGTAATATAGATCTTGACTTATTTATTTAATTATAAATATAGTAACAATTGAAATAAATAGAAAAATAGATATAACTGATCATTTAGTTATGTAACTATTATTTTTTTTAATATATTAGGTTGTTAATTTGAAAACAGTAGAGGAGATAACTGAATGGGAGTTGAGAGGAGGGAAGGGAAATGGCAGTACACGCATATGGCGGGATGAGGTAGTGCATCAGTTTGTTTTTTTTTCAAATGTATTATTGGGTCCACTGGCAGAGGAAGTGGGGGGAAATATTTGTAAATGAATAGGGTGTTTTTTGCGAGTTATTCAAACCTAATAAAGGGAGTAATTGTTAGCACTATTTGACCGAGAAAGGCATAAAAAACTATAGGCATTCTTTGTTTAGGCTTAGGCTTATTGCTTTAGACTTTTAAGTCAGTTTATTGGCTTATATGATTTATAAGCCTGTGGATTGAATGTCCTAAGTTTAGTGATGGAGTCATACATCTACCTTATATAAGAAAAAAAGTCTCCAACTTAGCTATTAAATTTTGGTTTATTAGTGTTAAAGTGGCTTATGGCTTAAAAAAACCAAACAAAAAGCTAATTGTTTGTTTAGGCTCAGAAATGTTTTGTTTATAAGCCTAAACAAAGAGAGCCATAATATGGTTGATGTTATAATTTTTAAACTAAAATATAAATGTGATGTAATATTTTTTTTTAATAAATAAAATAGATGTGTCATGTTTTATACAGTCATATATAGAGATCGAACTGAAAGATATAAAAGACTGTAATATGAGTTTATATGATAATTTTTAAATTAAAATATAATTAATATGTTAATATTAGAGATAAGATGGATATGCCACATTTTAAATAGTCATCTATAAGGATAAGGATAAGGATAAGGATAAGGATAGATAGTTTGCTTTTCTATATCGTATTCGTATGTACCTATGTACATACCTATATTTTCTGTCAAATAGTGTATGTGTTTTTTTTCCTTTTTCTGGGGTACGTACGCATATATGCATTTTTTTTCTTTTTTCTTGCAGCCTTTTTTTTTCCTTAATGGAGAAGTGGAAGGAAAGCGTATGTACACAAATGGTCTGATGGGTGGGGAGCAGTGGGGATCTAGTAGGTTGATGGGCTTTCTAGGCCCGTAATTTTTTTTAATTTTAATTATTATATGGGGATAAAAAGAAGGTGGAAAAAAAAGAAACGGTGGTCAGATGTACGTACGCTGCTGTGGAGGGATCATGCCTACCTTGGATGGTGGGAGATTTTGTTTCCCCTGTAAAGATATATCTAACGATTAAAATTAATAGGTTCACCAAATTTAATAAAAATTGACGGTCAGATTTCTCTATTTTATTAGAGTGACATGTGGCGACTCGAGAGCGTTTATAGGATGACACATGGAAGCTTAGGAGCGTTTGTAGAAAGTTTAATGGACTTTTAGTATATAATAATAGATAGATAGATTGGGATCTCTACATTTGAGTATATATTCGAGTATATGGCACTTGTGGTGTTGGTTATACTCATCATTTATTCATATCCTTTTATATACGCGATCGTTTGTTCAACATGTAGAGGTTGACAATTGGATCATTGGGACTAATAATTGTATTGAGTTGAATGATTGAAATAGGTCCTAAGGATTGCAAAGGTATTGATGCTCAAGTGATATCACTACACCTAAAGATACCAAGGATGACAAAGTGAAGAAATTGAAGATGTGGGATACGAAGTGGCTATTATGAGAAGA